TTTATTATTTTTCTTTGGTGAATTTGTTTTTTCTGTCTTTTTTTAAACTGCCTAAAAGGTCAATTTAATAACAACATCACATTAAATTAACTCAAAATACCCTTATTTTTGAAAAAATATGTGTCCGAGAATTTTTTGTCAACTCTGTTACCATATGGTTTTGTCCCTGTAAATCTGTGAAATTGCCTTCTACGGCTATATAAACTGCATAAAATTAAGTCATTTACTTTTACTGATAAGACCTCAAACACACAGAGGTCTATGTGCCATTCTCTGGGAAATATTTTAGTTTAAAAATCACAATCACCAGGGGTTATTGTTTTCAACGTCAATCTTGTTACCAAAGTATCATGAGAAAAATACCACAGATTTTTGATCAGAGACAAGTTTATTTAATGGTTTTTAAACCATTATCTCAGTGGTGTCATGTTTTTTCAGAATTTCTACTCACAAGTGGAGTTTTTAATAAAAATGTTTGAAATTGTCAATTCTGTTACCATCAACTCTGTTACCATCAACTCTGTTACCAAATAGGGTAACAGAGTTGACAGTAACAGAGTTTTCAGTTCTAAATTATTATGGTCCTGTCAATTCTGTTACTAACACCAACTCTGTTAGGTAACAGAGTTGACATGTTTATGACATACTTTCACAAAAAAAACAGGAAAACTGTTGTCTAGAGCACCATATACATTGTTGGTTGACTTCTGCTGTGATTTAGTATTACTGACCAATTTTATTTCTAAAAGAATGATGGTTTTCAATGAGTTTTAATGAAAAACGTTTGACCCTAAGCGAATAACTCTGTGAAAAGTTGAGTATCTTTTGATTGTTTAAAATGTATTTTTAAGTAAAACCTCTCCATTTAAAGTATTTGGGTAGTAGGACACTTGGTGTAATGGAATAAAAATATTTTAGTCTGCTAGAATTTATTGTTTTTTTTCACTCACTGTCTATATTGTCCGTAACAGAGTTGATGTAACATACCGCAAAACATACGTTTTTTCTGAGAAAAAATTATAAAATATGTAGCTAATGTTTGGCAATTACAGATTTTTTTAAAGTTTAATGCCTTTTCAATAGACTACCTAAGAAACTTTTTAAGAAATTATTATTTTTTTTTTTTGTCATTTCTTGAAGTGCCAAATGTATCTCCAATNAATCTGCCTCCTCAAATATCTTCTCCATTTGTCTGGCCCAACTATACCTATTTGTGAAATCCCAAAGAAAAATATATTTTGCGTATATTTTATTCAAATTTTGTGCTTTATCCATAGGACCTGTTCCCTGTCCCTATTCTCAAGAATCACTGATTTAACATTTGAAGAAGGAATAAAGTCCTATCAGACTCAGCTGGTAGAGATCTAGGTTCAGTTATAAATAAAGTCAAATATTGTTGTGACCTAGGATCAAGGTGTAAACTGAGTTGTATAGATCTTGTGTTTACCCAGTATTAGATTATGGAGCAGGAGTCTAGGGTTACTGTCAACAAACTTACAGAGAAAATGTTCAATGTAGAGCTCTGTGTTATGTTTTAGGTGTGCATAGAAATACTCCTAAATTGGCATTATATGGAGATATGGGTTGGGAACCTTGTGAAGTTGTATATATTGCATATATTGTCAGATTACCAGCCAGACTATAGATTAACAAAATATATTTTTCTTTGGGATTTCACAAATAGGTATAGTTGGGCCAGACAAATGGAGAAGATATTTGAGGAGGCAGATTTTCAGTACATTTATAGGAATAAATTAATATGTAATATTCAACAGCTTAAATAGTTTTATTTTGAAGTTTATAAACGCAAGTGGGCAGTTGATATCTAGTATAAGCCAAAATTATGCAGTTATATTTTACTGAAGGATGCCTATAGTCTTGAGCCATATGTGTCATGGAACTTGTGAAAAAAAAACAAAGGTCCATTTGCGCCCAGTTCAGATGTCTGGGACTGAACGGAAACGTCCAGTCTCCAAGTGCCAGAACAACCGAGGATGTTTTATGTGTGATGTGGGTAAAATTGAGAGTGAAGTGCACTTTTTGTTTTATTGTCCCTTGTACCTGATGTTGAGAAATGATTTATTTACTAAAATACTTGATGTTTATCCACATTTTTTTAATTTAACGGATGAGGATAAAATGCGTTAAGTATTTTTTTGTTTCGGTTAGCACAGTTTATTTTGAAGGCTTGGCACCGTAGAAAGAGAATGTATTTTGTTTAAAGAATATCTGTGTATGTCTGTCCACTTGCTTTTATATGTGTTATTGTGTCTTGTAAGCTCATGTGGACTGGGCACCTGTAAGGGTGTTATATGGAGATATGGGTTGGGAATAGTGGTCTATAGGAAAATAAAGACTACTTGCACAGTTTTCTAAAGTTGATTTTCAATCAAAGCAGGAAATAATTAAAGGAAAACCAACACTGGAGCTGAAGGTTTGTTTCAGACTACGAGACAGAAGGGTACCGCTCTTTTCAAAGGGAAAGAAAAGACCAGCTTTGTGGATGTCCTTCTAAAAAATGCCTTTTCTGGTGTCCTTGCCTTCTTTTCTCAAGTTGTGGCACTGTGTGGACTCAGATGGGATTTTGTGACTTAAATTATTTGCTAAAAAGTCTCAAACATGAGAGGTCGACCACTCATATTGAAAGCCAGATCACAGTTCTAAAAACATTTGGGATGTCGAGGATAGATTTGGCTTTGGATGAATGGATATTTTTGTGCAGAATGAGCAGCGCATGGACTTCATTTATAAGGTAAGACAGCAACACATTTTTTCATTTAGTTTTGTAATGAAATGTGCATTTTGTGGGCTACTGTTTGTATGTGTAAAGAATGCAGAAAAGAAAGAATTTACTGAATTTGCAAAAACCTAAAAAAAAAAAAAAAATTAAGTCATTATCAGGTATTTGCCAGGATATTGGGTTGTTTGGGGTTTTGGATTATTTATTGTTCTGTGTTTCTTTGTCTCTTATTCTTTGAGTACAGCAGCCTTGTTTCTGTTTAGTCTGCTCTTAGTTTTTTTTAGAATATGTTTTTATTTACTTTTTGTACTTAGTATGTTGGTCATTAATTAGTACTGATCAGGAGCAGATTGCTTAGAAATACTGACTGATCTGAGTTAATTTCTTTACTTTCTATCCTTTCTAGTGGATTCTTTTCAAAATTTACTGTCATGGATAATATATGGTCTTAGTTTGAACAATTCTTTGGGGAGGAGGATGCATGGATGATCTGCTTAGTTACTGTCACTACTGGCATTGGTAGAAATGTAATTACTGAGAAAAATGTGGATTTGTTTAGGTAAGGTTATTTTATTTTCATAGTACATGTTCAGCAACAAGGCAGTTCAAAGTGCTTTACCTGAATTAGAAGGAAATACAAAAAACAAAACCAAAAGAAGGACAAAAGGTAAAAGTACATATTGGTTCCCCATGTTTAATAAGAATAAGTAGCCCATAGTTTATAAACTAGTGAGGGTTTCCACTTGTTCTAGGTAAAAGTATAAACCTAGATATTGGTTCCCCATGTTTATTAAAAATAAGTGTCCATATAAGCTAGTCGGGGTTTCTCTGGATTCTTGTTCTGATAAAACTAAATGTTGGTTCTCTATAATACCTGTTAATACCCGTTTTTCTTGTTGTAATGGTCTGGTTTCACATCCTGGAAAAACAACTCAACCCCTCCAACTGTGACATTACAATTCATATGCAGGAAGCTGATCTTCTATATTAAATGTTTCCCATTAGTTCATTTCATTTAAAGTGTTTCTGATGTGGGTTAAATAGTGCAATAAAAAGAGTAATGCAATTAGGGGTTTTTAAAAGGTCAAAAGGTTTGACAAGATGTTTTAAATGTTCCCCTACTTCAACACACATTATTTCAATTGATGGCTGATTAACAGGGTTTTGCTGAATTACAATCATCTGAATGGGGTGTGTTGAAGCAGGGGACCATCTAAAACATGCAGGTTAGTGTGCCTTGAGGACCAGGGTTGGGAAACACTGTAATAGTACTGATCAGGAGCAAATTGCTTAGAGTTTATCAATAGCACTACCTGCAGTCTTGCCGTGGATTTGCCACATATCCTGGGTATGCTCCATCAGTAATAGCACGACACATTTTGCTGTCTCTGTCTGACGGCAAGAGAGTTCCTGCTCTTATCATCAGACCTAGGCAGTGATAAAATGTGTTTCTCTCCTCTGGACCATCTTCTGTAAAGAAACAGTGACCCAGTGTTTCATAGCCCACCACATCTTTTACCTGGAAGTCAAAAGAAAGATTGAATGAAATGGTTCTTGGATCTTTACACCAAACAACATGTTCACAAGATCAGGCTAATTATTTTTTTCTCATACATATTAAGGAAAACACAGGAAGAACTACTGTATATAAATAATTCTTAAAAGGCTTTTTTGGATTTATATTCCTTTTGGGATTAATAAAGTATTTTTGTAACACTTTATTTGACGGGGTGTGAATAAGACTGTTATGACACTGTCATAA